AGATCGATCGTTATATGCTGCCCACCTTCTGCATGCATACGAGATCGAGTAAGTACCCTATAAATTTTCAATAAAACGACAGCTCTAAATCCTCAAGATTTGTTTTTAACCTTTTGCATTCGAGAAGCAATTCTCAGTAGCCATTTAATCAGATTATAAAGATCGGTGTTAATTAACATATTAAATTTAAAACTGCCCAACGATACGTGGAATGTCTAAATAAAACAATTCTATGTATTAATTTGCATACGATTTCTTATTTACCGTTTTAAAAATATATTCCACTTTATGGCAGAAAGTCTTCGAATTACTATTTTTCTGTAACGAAAAAATCGCCGAGTGCAAAGTGTAAATGCTACTCGTCGATACTTCCTGCACGAATAAATTTAAATATCTCGTCGAAAAATGGAATTACAATTGCCCATAATTGATGTAATCATAATCCGCTCCGGTATCAACAAATTTATTTTTGGTTCTTTTGATATACAGGATGATTGGTTTGAGTTGTCCGCCTTCGCATTTCTGTTACCTTTGATGGTATAAAAACGGAGAAAAAATAACACGGTCTAAAAAGAATTATGATGAATAAGTTTTGCTACAAAGGATACTTTGTTCTCAAATTCTCAAGGCCTGCTGGCTTTTTTTATAGTAACGATATATTTGTCTCGTTATACTGTGCTTCATAGAAAAAGGCGAATTCTGTACAAAATAAAAAAGAAAAAAGAATCTGAGCAAATATATAAATATTCCATATCAGATGCCCAACAAGGGTTTTATACAATTTCTACACCCATCTATCTTTTTTTTTACACTTTCTTTTTCTTATGCATTGCGCTCTATGTGTAATAACAGCTTTAAATGTAATATGATAATGAATGTAATTATGCGATTATATGTGGCACATAGGTATAAGGAAATTTATATACCTTGTACAATTTTATACGGTATAATATTCTACCATACCACGATATATTTTTCTAATAAACTTTATAATTAATTAAAATTAAACAGAGAATTTTATACTCCATCTACCGTATAATGTATGATGTGAAATATACTACGATATAATTTTTTGTCTTTGAAATTGATAATTTGATTCATACGACGATAGATTGGACCAAGGAATCAAACTGTCTGCGAAATGTCTTTTATCCAAGAGAAAACATAGAATACTTTATATGTATATACATCACATATTTTCTTTTCCCTGAAAAGATCCCTCCTAGTTATTCTTATCTAAGAACAGCGGTAAATGTTATTTTAGCCCCTGTAGATGGTTGTTTCTCTACATGAACAGCCTTCAGTTAGTATATTTTCGAAATTATATTTAATGGGAAGGATCGAGCAATGGCAAATAAACTTAACGCGAATATCGACTATGGGAAGATCGAAAATCGCTATGATTACTCCTTCTTTTAACGAGTTTATGGAGAACAGCCGGTTAATTCGTTATTGGAAAACGTTCATTTAACGAATTCGAGAATATCGAACCGATTTATTAATTTTAGGTATCGAGATTGCTTAAGAAATAAAATAAATAATTCTGAATGGTTTGTCGATGTATGAACTGATGATGATGATGATAAGAGGTTTACTCTATTATAATAAAATCGGAAGGAAACTAATGGTCAGAGGTGACTTAAACGTTAACGTGTTAACGATTATTCGCCTACGTATCAAATCCCTTTCGATTTAGCTCAATGCCACTTGGTTTCAATCTGAATGGCACGGGACTGCAAAGAATTTGACCCGGATGTATATTTCGTGGCTATTGATCTTCGATAGTCTGCGAAGAATACGGTATGATTTAGCGGAATAATGTTTCGAGGAAATAATTTTGGGTATGTCCAGTAATTTAGGTAGTTTAGTCATTATTAATATGTCCAGGAATTTAGGTAATCTAGTTAATATTTAAAATATTTTCTAAGATAATTCTCTCTTTGGATATCATATCATTAAATAGAAATAGTCAAAATAACTGTTATTTATTATTCCTTGTTAAGTAGTTACAATAAACGCATTATTTCTGTCACATCTATCGAGGTTCCCTTAACTTTATGCTAACTTCCATTATTTTCTGTCTTTCATAATCCCTTTGGCATTGTACGCATTTGACGTTTGATTAAAATCGAAGTTTTACGTTGCCCATAATTTCCTCAAGTGCAATTAAATACACGAACATCGCATATGCACATAAGTGCATTATACACGGTGTCACAATGAAATTCTTCAATTGATCATCGTATTAAGACTTTATTTTCTTTTTCTTTAAATAATTGAGATGGTCAGTTATTCTGTTGTTTTTGTAATACCCATTCAAGAATTTTTGCGTTACATATCGTTGGAAACAAATATTCATAAATATGTAAATAAAAAAATTAAGCAAAAAGGTAACTCTATACCCGAATAGAAAGGAAAAAAGAAAATTGTGTATATGAATAGAAAGAAAAGCAAATATACACATTACGATGAATTTGTCGCGGTATTAATTTTATAGACACAGCCGTGAAGTTTTATGATCACACCGTGCATGTAAAGAGACTCTCGTGATTTTACGGTACTCGAATCAATTACGTTCTATATGTAACTATTAAAACTGTCGTATCACAATAACACGTTTCAAGGAGAGTCTTCGAACTCTGTTTATTACATATTACAGTGTTAACTGGCATGAGAATCACTCGGTTAAGTATGTCAATGTTACAACGATAATGCAGCGAGCAGAAACCATACACGTCGTTTTAATCGTACAGGTTAATCACCTCAAAATTGAATATCAGTCTTCTACTTCTCATTAGATAGATAATCGTCATTGTTCAAGGATCCTCGAATCGTAACAATAGCGTTTTATGCATAATTCATGACATGTTGAATCGATTTTATTCCAATTTTTTCATCTTGTCATCCTCATTAACTATTCACGAAATTGTATCTGTTTAAGATTCGATAGAGATTTGCATAATACTTGTATTTACTATATGCATATGCATATGTATATATGATACATGATTGTAGGTATGACATATGTTTAACACTGATATGTTGTTTGTTAAAGAGAAAAATTTTAGATTTTTTGAAAATTCATCCTTAAATGACCATCATTCATTGAAACAGATGATTACAAATGTTCAATAAATTATTATTATTATTTAACAGATATAAATAGGTATTATTTAATTTATATAATATTTAAGTAATATTATTTACTATTCTTGACTACTTCTATTTACTAATCTTTATTACTTTTCTTTCCTATTATCTACTACAATATTTTTAATAGATATTTATTCTTAATTATCATAAGATATTTAAATTATCTTTTAATCGAATTAAATTTATAATGTTAATAAGATATTAATATTAAAAAAAATATTAAGTAATAAATATTATAACAAACTAAATAACGAATAGAAATAAATTAATTTTAATAAACTGCCTTAACTTTTACATTCGCGGATAAACTTATAGATGGTCAATAGACTTTTGGAATCGTACACACTGAATTGTTCTAAGATCGAATGATCGAAACGGTACAATCTATCAGATAATCTTTTCATGAGCTACAAGGACGTGACAATAACCTTAGAATCACGAAAAAAATGACCTCCGGGAAAGTTTTTTGTCATCATGCTTATCTTCCTGATCTATGCAGTTTCATCCGAAAAAACAGGAATTTTGAATTTCCAAAAGTAACAAAAGAATTAAAATATTCTTATTTATAAATCCTAAATTCCAAGTCTTTCAGCTTCTTCGTCAAAACTTTACTTTTTCCAATATTAAAATAATAGAACGTCAAAGAGCAATGGTATAGAGGATAATAGAATACAAAAGAAATGAAATCGAATAAGAGAACTGTATAGAGCTAAGAAAAATCTCCAAATATACCTGCGTGTATATTATGCATATCATGTATCGTTTATAATTATTTTAAGTATACATATGCATACTTATATAATATTTATAATTATCATTATTCAAGCGATACCGTTTTTATACGTTAATCTTTTGCTATTTTTTGCATATGTGAATCTTTATCAGAACAATAAAAACTGTTTTTATTTATCTCGAATCTAAATTACTCGAGCAATATCCATAGACTTTTGAAGTCGTTCGAATAATTATGAGTAATAGTGTAATTATATAGGTATTATTTCTGCATTTGTATTTATATCTGTGTTATTACTGTTCTGGATACTAATGAGGTAGGAGTAGTTAATATTGAAGAAACAAATTGTCTATTGAAACATGCCTGGTATTATCACATTCCTATGATAATAATTATTAATTATCTTTAGTCATTCCTAGAGTGATTAGATTTTATTTATGCTACATTCACGATTAACTTTAAAATATTTCTCAGAATTTTAAAAATCTAATCACTTCCATCTATCCGAGAAAAGAAACTCCTAATTTTAAAGGGTACTAATAAAACCTCTAGCGAAAATTTAAAACGAATATTTTATGACTCCTTAATATCTCTCTGAAAATTAAGGAATCTTTCAATGAAAGAAGAACACGATTGAGCAGTAAGCGAATCAAACATCATAGTAGCTATAACCGAAAGAATAACGTTATTTACAATAATAAAAAATCAAGTACGACCCAACTAAATTAAAAAATTAGTATTATTTTTTAACACTATTTAACCGGTTGACTCTAGAGTAATAAGATATAGATGAATCGATAAAACAGAGCATAAAAGTCAAAGAAATCAAAGAAATCAAAGAAAATAAAATAAATCAGAAAGCAAAGTATAAGAAGAAAGAAATACATTGTAAAACCAAATTTAACAATGTAAACAAATTAATATAAAAGATCATGTTACCCGTAGGACAGTATTTTCGATGGTCACAAATTTTCAGCTCTAAAAGAGTAAGATACAAGTGAACAATAGAAAAGACCTTGGAAATTGAAGATCAAGAGTATCACGTGCTCCCACCATAGGTAAGTACTCTCGCGTACTTACCTGTTCATGCACAGGCTCTGTTGGTGCCCCTTCCTCGATAGTCTACGGAAGGTCCGATCCTTGGACACTTTCTTATAAATGAAGGTTGGCCGCTGTCTCGTTTCTCATTTAACGCTCCATCCCTCGCACTTGGAGGGATCGATCTCCACGTGTACGATCGGACACGCAAAAACATCTTATTGGTTCCTCCGTTTCGCTTAAATGTGTCTGTGCGCCGAATTCTTAGTGATATATTCATTATTTTTCCCCTTCTTTATTCTCGAACCTCGTACGGGTAACCAATACTGAAAAACGAGCAAAACAAATAGGTAAGTAAAGAGCAGTGATGAGCCATCAATTTAACTTATCGTTCAAAAATATCCAAACACTTACTTCCACCCTCGAAGAGGCATAATTTAATCAAAAGATTATAAACAAAATTACGTATAACGATTTTATTTTCATTATTACCACTCATACATTCACGTTAAAAAAAAGAAGTATGTGCATTAGAATAAAGTTAGAATTATCAAACTGCAGAAACCTGTTTTGGTATTTACGAAGTTAAATCTTGAAATAGATTCATTCCTAATGATAAATTATAAAATTTATAAATTATCCGAGTATGGCAAAATTCTAACAGTGGTATCTGATGACAAATTGCGTGTTTTCTGTTAATATACTACTGTTACTAGATAATAAGCACTGCTTTTAGCCATTAATTTGTCATTAACTCATGTATTTTGGTAACTTTCATGAACTGTTATCTCAGATCAACAGAGGTGTTCAGATATTTATGAACGGTATTTTATTACTGTATGTAATAAAGATAAATATTTATAAATTAAAGATAAAAGAAATGATTAATTTTTTATAAAAATTCTGGATGAAATAGATATCGATAATTTTGAACTCTGATATTGATCGAGCGATGAAAATTAATAATAATCGTTAGAAAATTATATCACTTATAAATATCAATCGTCGTGATGGTTGTTGCCTTTTGATAAATGGTCATACAAGCAATTTTGTGATACCACAATTTTTTCGTATCAGGAACGACGTAAAATTAATGAAATGTTTAATGTTAAAAGAAAGATAGTACCATGGAAATTAAGTAGCGAGGTGTGATTTAATTATGTAATTTGATTTAAGTGGAGCAGTGTAGAACTCGTCTTGTTACTTGTTCAACTCTTTTGTAAAGCACAGCTTAATACTGGTTTAGTGTTTTGATAATTAAGCACTTTATAATTGAATGTAAACGATCGTGTTCCGATTAAGTGACTGTGAGTGCAATGACACGTATGAAAATGATTCTTTTCTTCAATGTTGCTGTTTAAACTTAAACATATTACTATTTACAAAAATTCTACCAACTTAAAATGCATCAAAACGCTTTAAGAACACAATAAAAAGTGTTTTAACGAAGAATTGTAATCAATTCTGTTTAATCGAATTCAAATATTTTTCATCTGAACCCATTCGTTAGTGACGTCATATTATAAATCGCACAGAATTCAACCAATTTACAATTCAACGCACAACCTCCGCAACATTATGTAAACTATGTATACGACGACATAAACATGGACACGACCGTTTTGCATTCCGGAACTCATTCCAAATGGCACGACTCACGGATATCTTACGAAAAGCTCCGCATTTCGTGTTTCAGTTTAACTCTGGATCGAGCAATTTACAAGGATATGCCGGGATATTGGTGTGTATACGTGGTGAATGCCTAGTAAATCGAACCGCAGTTTGAATATCGTTTTGCATTATTTGCGCAATGCCTGTTATGAAAGTGTAAACAGATATAACTGGCCACAATTGGTCGGGTGTGATGTCAAAAATCTAACGTATGAATTATATTTCCTGAACGAATACTTGTCAAGAAGAACCTGTTTTGATCGACGAATGTAAATCGATTCAGAGATCAATTAACAATTATTAAAAAATTCAATCTATTAGAATAATTAGAGTGACAAGATCGTTTAAATGTCCTATTTGCATCCAAGTTATTTAAATTTAAATGAATAAATTATATTTCAAGATTCTTGAATGATATTATAAAACATTCAAACTAATAACAACGGCTATTACTTAATAGAGACAAATATTCACTTTTTATTCTTTGTATGTAACAAGGGTTCCTACTGTTCTGGAAAATATTTCTTTTTCTATTTTATCTATTTTGTTATTATAAAATATTCAAATTTAAGTAAATAGTTTTGTAGACATTTACAAATATTTAAATTATTAAAGCGTTCAAACTGCTCAAATCACCCAAAAATTTAAAATTTTCTCTAAATTGAAATATAAAGTTCTGCTACTTACAATTATGTAGCTATATTCTGAAAAATGTTGAAACTATAGCAAGTCTTAACTGCAGTCTCAACATCAAAGGTCAAGATTATTATCGACTTCTATCACAAACTCTATTGGTACTCCTATAAGCATCAATGTGCATTTTTTCTAACTCAAGAATATCAAGATCACACCTTCGTTTGTTGTCAATATACTTGTTAATTCAGTCGATAAATATATATAAACATCTATATGTCATAAGAAGACTAGATATAATAGGTTTATTATTCAACTCATTATGAAGATTGGTGATTTTATATTCCTGAAGGTGTCAGGCGAGGTGACTTAATCAAGAGGGCCCGTTAATCCATGTCCAATCAGTATCCACGCCTGCCGGGTATACGCCCATAAGGCTCATTCAGCCTTCGATTTACCATCGGCCAGTAATTATAGAAAACTACACTGCGCCGTCATCGTAACACTTGCCGTTAATGCTCCCGTTTCTTATCTTACTTGAGTTCCCCTTCACAATGCCAGACTCAGCCCAGAGAAGAAAAAAGTAACTAATACATCCGGTTGCTCGCATTGCAAATCAATTCTACTTCTATCCTCGATTGTGCGTCTTCTCAACGCTTTACGACTATTATAATGACGTTGACTAATTGTACGAGCATGATTCGATAGAACAGAGACAAATGAGTATAGCAGAATGTCGATTATACAGATACCGATTACCCGGATTTCTGATTCACCAACGTGCTTTCGATTATCCAGGCATCCATAAGTTATAGATAGGTCGGAAGATATCTCGGGGTTCGTGTCTCGTCTCTTCATCCTAAAACAATTATTTTTTAGTTAGAAATTAATATCAAACACGGAGTTAAAAATTACATAAAAATTTTAGTTAGATGGTATTTAATTTCAATAAATATAAATACAATCTAACCTATACTTTCAAATAGTATATATATATGTAAAATTTTTTTGCTTTTTCTTCTAATTAGTTTAATAGAAAAAAAAATTATATATAAGGAATAAACATAGTCTTCATTTAATATTGAAGCAAGATAAAGAACGTATTAAATTGCAGAAAAATTAATTAATACATGATTTTATATTGTTACTCGATAGAATACTTTAATTTAGTATAACGCGATTTGTAATTCCGATTTCTTCGTCTAATTATCATCTTGCAAAACACTTGAGTACTTTAACTTTTGGCTACGCAAAATCAATTAGAATTTAACAGTTAAATCAAATTTTCACGGTATACTTCTTAGAAATTACTTATCTCATTTGTACAACAGAAATATTGCACGTAAATATTACGTATAACTAGCAATTATTGATTAAAGCTGCATCGTAAACCTTGAATTTCACGCAATATTAAAAGTATGAATAGAGATTAACTAAATTTACCTCATACATAATTTCCAGTAAATCGACGAACTTCTTTGCTTCTTCGGTAAAAGATGAAAGAAACGCTAAAAGAAAAGAATTTCAGTTAAATCCATGATAAAATAAAATTAATTTACGTTAACTTTACAATCATTCAATTTGTTCGTATTTTCATTAAACAATTACTGGTATGCATGCGATTTGTTCGAGAATTCAAAATGGCAATGGGATAACATCTAGAACGAGTTAATAATATGTGACTATGAAACGTATTAATATATATTGACTGATCGCAATGTTTAGTTGGCGTGAAGTCATAACGTCGTGAATAATGGGATCTTAAGTAAAATAGTAATTATTTTAACCACAAATACACGAGTAATTGAAGAATGAATTATACGCACGTGTATACAGGAATAATTTCATGCAGCATGAGTTACAACCATCTTCACGAAATATCACTGTTTCTTCCACTCGAACTGTTTTTTATTGGTTGCATTGGTTGCTAGTAAATTTTATTCATGAATGTAATATGTCAATTAAAATGAAATTAATCTATAATCTCATTGCAAACAGAAAGAGGAAACATCGAAATATACAACTTCATAAGAATACTAACAATGCTATCCTGTACTAAATTATTACACACGCAAAACGTCATTGGTGTTCGATCGTTTCGTATATCACCTAACAAATTTCTCTATGTAATACAAACAATTTTTAAGGATTTTGTGAACGAGAGAATCGTGAGCAAATAGACACAAGTCAATTTTCGATAAACCGCAAAAATAAATCTTAAATATACCAAATCTATCAAAAAGTAATTGCTAGGCTATGTAACGAAAAATGCGTCATATTTTCGTATAATACGCAACACGTGTTTTATCACTACACTGTCGTATTCTATTACGATTCTATCGTACGATATCAACAAATGTACTTACACCAATTACTAGTGTTTTCTTTTTCGCTGAAATTGAGACACTGATTAATTATCTTACGAATAAATAAAAGCTACAATTACAAGGGGTTATTCACATTACACAGCACGTTGATTCTGACAGATTCATAGGTGGCACTCGTCACACGGTTCTTTCTCCTCCCCCCCCCCCCCCTGCTCAACATATTGCGCAAGAAACAATTATAGTTTGATAGAGATTCTATTATACATATTATATTTCTACTAGTATTATTATTTATTATTATAATAATTATTATGTAAATTAGAAATAAATTCGAGTTTACACTATGTGTTTATGTATAATATATCTAATATGTATATATCTATTTACGTGAATTGGCGGGAATGATTTTCATTGGACGATGTATTGCGCAGAAGCAGTAGTAGTTAGAAAAAGGCGCGCCTAGTGTTTGAAGTTTAAAATAATTATTTCCATGAACCGTTCTTGCTTAAGAACCTTACTTTTAATAATTACGCACGTTTACTGATAGGTATCAAAATGTACACATATAAAAAAAATATCTGTAATTTTCTTGATTTTTATACATTAAAGCAATACACTGTTGTCATGAAAATGTCATTTAATGGTAATCTACGTCATTCATTCAATGTCAGTGTCTTTTTTCATGAATCCCAAGAACGCTTCGTACGTAAATTTCTTTTTAAACGATGGCAACGATTCATTCGATATGATTGTAGCACAAACAACGTATACAATACAATTTTAATTGCACACCTTAGTCGTTACTTTATACATTTGTTCAAGAAACTTGGCTCAAGGTTTCTCGTGGGTGGAGTTGTTGAAAAAAAATAGCACTAATGACTAACGAAACTTGATCTGGAGAATATACTGATTGTCATTTGCATATTGAGTAATGTCATATGACATATATATTGGAGAGCATATGCTGTGTAATTAACCATACTTTTGCGTATTTTATACTTCCTTCTTACTGTTTTCATATTCGTTTTGTATCGGCTGTGTTTCACATCAAGTATATTTTAATTACATTTTTATATTCCATCATTACCAAATTAAGATTATTCTCCCTTTTTTTATTAGTTGACTATTGGAGGCTTGATTTTGGAGATCTAAAATAAAGTAACAGAAATGATTATTCTGTTAAAGAATCGAGGAATGGAATATTCTCACATATTTGCATAAATTATTTCAATAATACATTTCTACGACAGATATGAGACATTTTTATCGAGGATGTATTACAATCATTAATACTTGAGTGTTTCGAAGAGGTATGCGCAAAAATAACTAATTTTCGAACAAATGAAAAGAAACTAATATTTATAGATATTACGATGATTTTGTAAGAAACGTAATATAAATTTAATTTGAGAAAGGTAAACGAGTATGCAAATAATTTGTAGATACAGTTACCGAAGTGTTTAATTGATTGGTTAATACTTAATTATAATACGATGCAAATTTAAGAACAACAAATCCAGTTCTTTTTTGAAAGAAAAAGGAAGAAATTGTATATGGTCATGATTAGATGTGCGAAAGCTACAGCAATTTAATAGACAAACGTTTTACTCATTGTATTCATTTTTAGTTTCAAAATATCTTAAAACATTAATATTGTACATCTTAAATTATATATTATGATTTTCAATATTTTGACTCTTACAACCATACTAATATTCACTGAAATATTAGATTGAGACACTTTGGAACATTCCATACTCGATCAAGAGAAAAATATCTGTAAATTCGAGATAGAAGGGCAAAACAATTTTAAGGAAAAAATTCACTGCACTCTTTTACCAATCTGGTTTCTCTGTTATCACGAATAATGGAATTAACATTATTAAAACGATAACTTTCGTTACGTCTCAATGATTTTGGCTCAAGGTGACCAAGTTGCATGGTGTATGCGTTAGAAGCCTACAGACATGTGAATTGGCTTTTCTACCGAACATTTACCATTCAATCCTACGTAATAATCAGTACTCGTTCTTTGTGTCCTTTTAGGGTAAAAAGAGCTAAATAATCAAGCATAATGCTAACATTGCCATAAATTGCAACGAACAGAAGTAATGATTATAGTGACGGGTAAAATTCATTTATTTCCAACAGACTGCGTTCTTAGTAACAAAAAATGCAAATGTAACGTAGTAATCGATGTGTTTTTGCGGGTACAAGGCGTTTTATTGGTTGGTAATTAGGCGAACGATGATAAAATGACGTAAGAAGTGAAATATCAGATCATTTTTTTTATATAAGGTGTGTGATAGATAATAATTGTAATGCTTGCTGATTGGCAGGAGCAAAGAAGGAAGTACAAACAGAAATGCTAAAAAAAAGCTTCAACATATAGAAAAGAATAAAGATAAAATTTTAGATAACTTAAAAAAGAAAATTAGTCTAAGGACTAAAATTAAAATGGTTAATATCCGAGCGAATAATATTTTAGCTACTTTGGATATCTCAAGTTTACTATTTTATTGCGACATTTATACATCTTGCATAAGAAGTAGTATTTAGTACCTTTACTCTACGCAATTATTTATATAGGAACTAGTGTAAATGCAAACTATACAAGCCTTGAATAAATAATCCTGATTAATACAGGTAGAATGTAAATAGTTGTGCCATGTGTAGGCATACTGTATCTAATTTGCGAAGTTTGCGAATACTAGAATTACTCTACTAATTTCAGATCTGGTTAAAGATCAAAGAATGTTTCATTACTATTACATATCTCTCAAAGAAATAATTATTACAATAATATGTAATTCCCTTGATCATAATACGAAGAAAATATTAATTTTGTAATTTTGTAGTTGGAATAATTAATTATTTGAAAGAAAGAAAAAGGTGAATTTTACCATTAATCAAAAACAAATATTTTGGACTATTTTATATATTGATTTCAATTTAATTAATTAAATTCAATATTATAAATATTTCTTCTCTTTCAATTTCGTTTTTAAATTTGCATGCAGCAACTATCATTCCTTTTTCCTCACATCCCCATATTAAGTCAAATTTACACAATTACAATACGCCTACTGTATCTAATTTTCCACAGACTAATTATCAACTGAAAGAAACACATTCTTATCTGTATTTTTAAGTTTTTATTCCTTGCAGAAATCTTACCTATAATTTATAGTATACCGATACGAAACTGCAATCGATATTAGGCATGCATATGCAATAAAATAACGATCCTCCGATTGGTGGAATACAAAGTATTCAGCGATACCATCGGCAAACGTACATTTACGATGGTGTAAATGTTAAGAAATATGTAAACGGCGAGGAAATCATTTTTGCAGTAATCAACGCAAAATTGTAGGTACCGATGCATTACGTAAGCCATATTTAACGATAAACTATTAACTCGTTCTATGGATAAAAAGTCATCAAATGACCGATTATTAAATTATTAACAAGATAAATTCTATCACTACGTCATATGGATTGAAATAGAATTATAGCTTGATTACAAACTTTTGACATCCTCTATTATGTGAAATATTTAATACAATATCCAATCATTCAGGATAATAAAATAAAATTAAGATGTTACCACGGAACACTGTTTTAAGAAACAAAGGGATGTAAAAGAACTTCTTCTAACTTCATCTACAACTAATGAAAAAATTGTCTCGTAACTCTGAATAAAAGAGGCTATAACTTAATTTTTCCTTCCCCAGGGCACAATGCTGAACACAGTGGTTCAGAAATTGCAATTCTTGTACAAGCCATATGCGTTGGCCATTGTTTCAGTTGGATACGTACTTGGAGAGCTAGGTCATTATTTAATTGGTAAGCGATGCATTCAGTTCCGCGCATTATACTTCCTCTTCCTTAACACGCCTCTTAATTATCTTCGTAAACTCGTCTACTCGACTAATTAGTCGCGACAGAACTTTTAAATCGTTCTCCTCTAATCTTTTCCTCCTTTTTTGTTTCAAATAAGACTTGCATGTTCTGTAAAATTAATCAACTGTAAAAAAGTTGATTCGTCGCATCGAAGTCTTCCAAGACTCTGTCATCATTGATATAAAATTTTCTTGTCAATTATCGTTATTAACATAACGTTGACATAATTGGAGAAATCAAATTTATCTGCCTGTACTTGGTTTATATCGTTTCTTGAATTTATTCGGAAAAATATCAAGTAGCATAGACTATCTTTCCGAATTTTTATAAATTGATTTTATAGATCGAAATTAAATGTAAGTTAATAACGATAATATAAACCATCTTCATATTTGCGAATTATCTTCTCAATTATGAGCTTCCTATTTTCAATTTGCTTCCAATTAATATCCCTGTTATGAGAATTCCATAATCACGTGTTCGCGCAATTATGGAATACGTGTCGTCAATGTAATGTTTTTACACGCATTTTCAAGGTGTCACAAGCAAGGCGACAGCGGAGGATTTGCACTATGGTGATATTTCCTGCCAATTAAACTCGACCACGTTATCGATCGTAGAACTACCAATCCAGTGCGAGGTAGCCAAGAATGAAAGTTTGTAAGTTTTTTCCATTTTTTTCAAATTTATCTGAATCATCGATCAATTTTTGTTCTTGATCATCGTGTCGATTAGCACTAAGTATACGCTATAATGATATTCAAATATCCCACATTATTGCCTTCGTTTTTTGCTATGTAAACACGTGTAGTCTGCAAATATTAAATAATTATATAATAAAAAATTATATAAGTATAATTATTTAACTATATTTTTCCCTTCGTTTGGATCAATAAAACCCCGATTTTTATAATCAATGTTACATCATGATCTTCATGTATACTTAACGAGGCTGGCTAAGTGCACTGCCTTGAACAGAAAATGAACTAAATCCCGATGCATCGTTCAAAGCTACTCGGTTGTCCAATTTACGCGTCTTATACAGAACTTACAACTTGTTAGTTAGATCATACGTGCTTTTACCATTAGTGTGCATGCATTCGAGTGCATTCGTGAACTCGTGTATCCGCCTCGACCTGATCGAATTAGAATCGGTCATTGGAATGTATCCTATTTCACAGTTGTGTGTCCCTGGAACTGAACGGATCCCGCTACTGCGAATGGAACTACAATGGCCTTGGTCTCGACTATCAAATCCTGGCAGGGCCGAGCTTCATCGCGGTATTCACCATCGTTGGCGTTGCTCTGGGCGTTGCAGCTGACAAGTATAACAGGTATATGTCATCATGAACAGAAAGAATCAGGGACTCGAAAAGAAGCGGAGTAGGTGACAATATCTATAGCCTGAGAAATGCTTGGGATGGCTTAAGCTTTGATCGAAGAATCTCTATACTTCCAAAAGCTACAACACATTAATCTGCGTTCTCACGGAGGCTTAGAGATATTGATAAGATTCTATAGACAAATATGAGTTTAAAGGCTGATACAGATTTAGAGATACTGTCTGCAGACAATTTGCGTGCATTGTTCCTGGATTCTTTATGCGAATTGTTCTATCAAATGCCATGTACTGGAATATGGTTTGCATTCATATATATCTCGCACAGGAGACCATTCTATAGAAATCTTTTTAATCAGAAGGATTGTAAATAAACGAGTGTCTGCGTGTAATGTCTGTAGGTTTATAGGCAATGGTAGACTTGCGTTAGTGTTTTTATCGAGTTCCATAAATTGTTATTAATTTTAAGACGAGACGATACATAGCACATGACTGATCGATAGACTATGATAATCGACAGAGGAAGAAATTTATGTTGGACAAGTAAAGCATTTTTTGTTGCACCAAGCGCATGCAAGAAAGGAACAAAGTATCAAGGACTGAATGCAAATACTGTTTTTTGTCTAATTAGATATTTAAATATCAACTGTACTCGAATTATAGCGAGCTATATCGAACGCTCAGATCGCTGGAAAATATACCTAACGTTAAAATTTTCTTCTGACGAAGGTGCACAGGAATTTATGCAAACTAGCAGGCAAAGCTATGCACATCTACTCCAGATGAATTATCACGAAAGTTTTCTTTTAAAATTTCGCGATGATATTTGCGTGTGAATCAGATGCATATCCTAAAACTACCAATTGTTCAGGCTTAAGATATACACAGGGAACACGTTAAATTATTTTTCTATGCAGTCACGCGACACGTGCCGTTCCAGTAAATATATCAATGTTGTCACAACCAGTTTCGTCATTAGCCTTCCTATACTTAACACTCTAGGTGTGGATATAGCTGTTACTACTACTGTTACCGTTTACGAGGAAAAGTAATTCAACATAATATACCGTTAAGTTAATGATAGGTGAATTATTATGCAATTGTTTTTTACTTGCTATTCGATGAAGATTCTTAGAATAAGAATGAACCGTAACGTTGAGCGAAGGAATTAGACTGAGCATCCTTTTCAGAAACAAATTAGCGTCGTTAAATCACTGGCTTGTAATCGAAATTGATTTTTTGAGATTTTAATTATACCGAGTGATCGTGTTAATTCAATTCGAGCGGAAATTTGAAAGTACTAGGCTAAGAGGATGCAAGGAAACAAGTTTAACGGTGAAAAAATATCGATGATAGATATGAGCATTCATTCAGCATCGTTTCATTACTTCCTGTACGCTAAGTCATACCTGTATCATACATGTATTTTTAGATTTATAGCATGATAATAACGTTTTAAGACACGAAGAAGCAACTCATAATTAATAAATTAATTCACGCGATAAGAATCTACGTATCAAAGAGTTATAGAACTGGGATATCTGTACTAGACATTAGAAAATTAGACGTACAGGCTTCAAATACCTAGGCTAGACCCTTGAAATCTAGGTACTTTGAAATTAAGCACTCGGCGTCTAAATACCTAGGATAAAGGCATCCATAAACTAAGAGCATAAGACCTAGGTAACTAGCCTGTAAACTAAATAACCGAGATCTAGGTAGCTTAAACACTTAATACGCAGGCGATTGTGAGCTAAACATTTAAAATCTGAGTCTTGAGACTAAGCGTCTAAAACTATGGTATCTAGAAATTAAGCTTCTGAAGTCTAAGAACCTCTACTTACCGAGGGCACAGACTATGTCCCGAATAACTGATATTTAAACTGTTTCACTTTTGATATTTCATATGAAATACTTGGCATAATTATTAAGTAAGAAGTAATATAAAATTTGTTTTCACTTTCAGAGTGAGGCTATTAACCGTTTGCACGTTGATATTCAGTATCGCGATCATTCTAATGGGAGCAGTTAAAGAATACTGGCAACTAGTCATTCTACGTATGGTTTTAGCAGCAGGGTAAGTTAGATATAACTGCTCCTAATTTTTAACTATTAAAAACGAGATTTTGTAAAGAATAAACAATCTACAGGGAGGCTGGATGCAATCCTTTGGCTACGGGTTTGTTGTCTGACTGGTTTCCAGAGAAACAACGAGGTCTTGTTATGTCCATTTTCAATTGGGGTATCTATGGTGGTTACGGTATTGCATTTCCTGTTGGTCGTTATATTCCGGTATCGAATATTGCAAATCTGGTAAGTATAATTTAAAAAGAAAATGAAAATAATTCTACATACTTCCATTCCTCCTTCTTTATTTCGTCTTTATGGGAGGAATTTATTTCTACGTTTACTAAATACTAATTACGTTAAAATGAAAGATTAACTCTTCTAACTTAGGAGTAATTCATAAAAGTTTGAGGAAAATTTACACAAGTTAATTATAACTCCTAATAATAAGGAATGCTATACATACTCTTAGTAAAACCAATTAAGAAAAGATTAAGAAATCTCGTTTGAGCAGAAGACAATACAGAAACATGCTTCTTACTTTTAGCACCAAGCTTTAAAGTACCAAGTCTTAGTCGTGGATAATATATTTAAATGAATATATTAAATATTTATAGAACAACATTATAGCACAGGGCAAAAATGATCGATGAAATATATCTAATTGACCTATCCAACTGCTCTCTCATTTGTTCTCTTTTCTATCATACATCACATAAATATACACAGTCTATACTATGCTTCATTTATTACACGCATACTCGATCCACTCATTCTTTCTTATGGACGTCACTTATTTTTATATCAATGCATACATATATTAAAAATCTATGTCAACCATTACCACACTAAGATCTCTTCTTTTCCCTTAAATTGAAATCTACTTTATTTCTTACAAAACGACATAAATACCAGAGAAAGAAACTGCTCAGCTAATAAATATAAAAATTAAGAGAACTCTAAGCTGGATTAGGTTTCTTCTCTGCCGAAGATTAAATGGATTAATAGAATAAATGCTGTGGGTAGATAATGAAGAAGAAGCAATTAGTAAACGGATTAAATAATACGATTGCTCGAAGCAGTCGAGCGTTAATTGAAAGGTTTTGGATACTTTTCGTGGGTTGAATCATGTGATCTTTTTTCTTCATTTTAGCGTGAAGATTACTTCATTCATACTTGATAGGTTTTCTATTAGTTCTATTGTATATATCTTATGGAATAAAACAAAGGACACCATGTTGAGTACATAGGTAGAATGTAAAAAATTCGATCAGCAGTCAATGTATAAACTAATATAAAATTTTAATGAATTATGATACTTAGAATGTTTAGACACCTGTTACCTACCTATTTAATGCAATATTAAATATTTTCTGTCGAATTAATAATAATAAGGAATTATCTGGACAGGGTTGGAGGGCATGCTACTATGGAGCTGGTATAATTGGATTGATCATTGCCGCTCTTACTTTTACGCTTTCTGAACCGGAAAGAAAGACAATCGGCGAGGAGGAAACAACTGCTAAGGGAAAGAAAATACCCGTTTGGAAAGTGATCCTACAACCGAGGATTATACTATTATGCCTGGCAGCCAGCATCAGACATTGCGGTAAAAGGCAATATCTTGACGCAAAGGATTGAAAAATACATTCTAAGGGTATATTTTAGCATCCACCTGTCTGGTTTATTCCAGCAAAATTTCTAATTGTTCCAAGAAATGTTTATTTGCAATTCTTTCTAACATCACTGAAATTTAACGAATTTTTACATACGCTATATCCTTTATGTTTAAATTCGTAAAGTCTATTCGAATATTTTTATTTGATATTTTATACATTTGTAATTTTTATTCCTTTCATTGTCTCGCGAAAAAGCACGAAACATTAACGTATTACGAATTTTGATATTCATTTAATATAAAAATCCTTAATCCTTTATCTCATATCATAACAGTGTATCTCCAATTCTTTTAAAAATTCTTATTTTATATTCTTTTAACATTTCAGTCCACTTTTCTTCGATGTTGTTACATCAAAATTTAAATCCAGTTTAAACACTATCTTCGGCAGAAAGTATCTATTCAAAAACTTTTCTTCTATTAAAAGAGCAAAGAAATGTCTTAAGATGCTAATTTATAACAATTCATTCGATACTGATGAGAACATTGCTAATCTTCTTTAATTAGTTAAAATAATTTCCTTTTCTTCCAGGTGGTATGTGTTTTGCCTACAATTGCGATCTCTATTACAGAGATTACTTCCCCGATTACGATCTAGGTTGGTGGCTGTTCGCGGTGACTATAGTGATCGGTAGCATCGGTGTTGTGGTCGGTGGGGTAGTTAGCGATAAATTTGTTGCGAAAATGGGTATTAGATCAAGAGTGGCTGTTTTAGCCATCAGTCAAATAATAGCAACACCGTTTGCCTTTGGTTCCGTATATTTCAACCCCTTATGGGCCATTATCACTCTTGGAATTTCTTACTTTTTTGGTAAGTATGTTTAACGTTATACGTACAAGCTATATTTCGTACCCTTTAATTTATTGTACTAAACTATATCAATAGATATAGATAAATATTCGATACTTATTTAAAAGCAAACCTTATATAATAAAACTACTGTTTCAACAAGTGAAAAATAACGTATCAATGAAAGGAAAGGATAAATTATATTATTCTATGTTATTCTATTTTTTATCCTTTCTTCTTCTTTTTAAAGAGAAAGCACGTTTCTTATGTGTATATCAACATTCACACGTACCTTATCCTCATTGCAGCCGAAATGTGGTTCGGAATCGTGTTTGCGGTAGTCGTAGAAATAGTTCCTCTGCATCTTAGATCGACAACTATTGGTGCCTTCCTGTTCGTCATGAACAACATCGGGGGAAATCTGCCGATATTGGTTGAACCAACTAGAAGGGCTATTGGTTTCCGAGGATCTCTTTATATTTTTTACGCTGGTTTTTATGGTCTCAGTAAGTATTCCAATAATCGTAAAATCCAATATTCGGCATGAAAATGTTACGTTGATCGATGAATAATAATTTACGTCAAACTATATTTCTAATCGAAAATCGAGCAGGTTTTAATCCATCTCTTTTATCGATATTCCAATTTTTCACGAATTAATTAAAATTGTTGCTTCTAGGTTCTATCATGTTCTTCTTCACTATGTTCTTGATGGATGGAGCCAGTAAGCCGGAAGCAAAAATGGAAATTAACAACAAACCAGAATTCGGATATGATAATAAGACGTTCACTAATGATAATGGACGAGTGTCGACATTAGAATTTCCAAGATTATATCCACAACCACCACATCGATTCGAAAATTCTAGGTTATAGAAGAACATAGTTCTGAATGATCCGTTGTAAATATCCATTGATAGAAATCCTTGTGAATAATGTGCAAAATAAAATGACACGGTAGAAATATGATCAATTTTAACTATTCTAGCGAAGTATTAGATTGAATGGAATATTCAATTTTAGTCGAAATTAAATTCGTAGCTTGGTTGAAATGTTCATTCTTCGTTGATGTGTCAGAAAGAAAATAGTTCCATGTTTTTATAATAATTTTCTAGTTTTAGGTCTTACGAATATTAAAATGACGTTTTATTTAATACCGTTGGTCGTGAGTATTGTAGTTGTAGAATTGTTTCTTTGATAAAACATAAGCCAATAGGTGAATTTTATATGTCACTATATTATTAAAAACAACCTGTTTATATACATGTGTTTACGCGTCTGCACAGGTAGACAAAAATACATGTTCGAACACATACACATGACGCACCAGTTGTGTAATTATGCGATACATAATAGATATTGAGATTCATCATCAAATCACTTCATCTATGTACAAATTATTTAATATAAATAAAAAAGATCCTTTATTTGTAATGTACAAAATAATCGGGAAACCGTCCTTGATAGTTCAAGGCTCAACAGACTTGACATGAAAGATTATTGTTGTTGCGTTGGAGGTGTGTACATATTTACATGTTACTTGCGAAAATACTTTGACACATTTATCGATAATAAATAGCTTTCCAAAGTGTTGTACATCAAGTATCACTGAATAATTCCGCATTAACAAAATCCGTGGCAACCGATGTTCCTTATGAATTGCTATGCGATGCACAAGAAAAGCATAAAGTGTTTCGGGCATTACTTCACGTTTGTATTAATGTTCAACGATTTAATGACACTTTGTTTCGTTACAAATCGCAATCAACTATAATAAAAACCACAAGTATGAATCCATATTGTAGTTCGCAGATATTGACACTCAACGTTATTGAGATATAATCTTTATCGAATACCTAAATATATATTTAAATACTTCCATGATTTTTTCCTCGATTATTCCATATTGTCTGAATGTCTCAAAGGTGCAGTCGGATACATTCTTCATATTTTAATACGGCATCTGACAAACGTTTAAGCAAGTCCAAAAGAAACAATTTTCTCTTAATTATTTTCTAAAAACATTTACCAGCCAGTGTTTGTAACTTGTTAAACTTCAAATGCGACACGAATTGTATACAAAGTAACATCTAGACATTTGCCATGATTCTTTGCATGTAGGTAGAAATTAATTTACCTACACAAGGTAAATTTCACGAATTCGATGCTCGCAGGTATGGAAGACAGGTGAGACTTGGTACCTTTAGCGAGGAGGTAAGAAACTGGTCTTGGAACTTGGTCCACCGTCATCATCATCATAGTAGGTTTCAATCGACTAGGTGGGTCAATAATTGTGGTCCCTATTATAATTACACACTCTCTCTCTCTCTCTCTCTCTCTCTCTTATAATTGTTTACGCGAATAGAATGATGCAAGTAATTCCATATGGTATTTTATAGATATTGTGGCGTGAAATATCAATGTCACTTCTTAAACAAACTCAAGACATTTATACATCTTTAGTACAGCCTCATCGACGATATTATTAATTTAATTCTATTAGTTACGTAACTCAGCGTTACGTAGACATGAAATAACTTAAACGTGTAGATAATACTATTGATATCTCACCGAAAAAAAACAAAGTGAATAATTGGTGAAACAAACATGCTCTGTCTTACACAAATTCGCTTGTGTATCGTAGGAATCATTCATCGTACTCAATCATTTGTATCAATTAGCTCATGATCATTGACATATTGTCTTAACTTCGTATGCTTATTATTTCAAGACTCGTAAAGACGAAGTAAAACATTTTCTCTTATTAGCATATACAGGTATGCAACGATTTGACTTTAAAAACCTTTTGTCATTATCACGTCTATTGTTTACACACTTAATAGTATTTATTCTATATACACATACACACTTAACGTGTACTTATGTATCTCAAATATTCGTTGGTTTCATTCGCTAAATTTCCATATCGAAATTTTCATAGCATCGTTTGGGTATGATTCATATTCATTCATAACTGCATTTCCACCCACGAGTCACCGGACACTTTTTAATTTTAAAGGAAATGTTTATTGATATAAATTATTCATATAAATTATCGATAAAATTTACTTTACGTTTATTAGGTTAATTTGGTTAAAATTTCATTCCTTTTATAAACAGCCCTTTTAAATATCATTCCTCGTTTGTAATTTCCTTACATACGCTGTTAAAATTTCGGTGACTTATGTATGGATTCGTAGTTAACAGACAAGAGAACCATAAACTAATATTAGTTTTATAAATATTTGGTAAGTAGAGATACAGATTTAAAAAATATTTCTCTAAAATTTAGTCATTTGCGCAGATCTCATTTTGGATCGTACCTTGTAGTTTCTTTTAGTTTTCTTCATCATTATGATCTTTTTAAGGATTTATATATAATTGGAAATAGATTTAATGTTATAATTAAGATAATACTTGTTCATTCCTATCGTTCATTGTAAAAAAATATTTCCTAAAAATCAGAGAAAATTAATTACAATACAGTTTTTCGTATGTAAGTTAACTAATTTAGGAAATTCTAAACGTGTCACGATATAAATATATCTCTGCAATTTCGAATCGAACAAGTATCACTATTAACTATTAAAAAAAGAATAAAAATGATTTACATACAATAACACGATAAATCAGTACTTATTGTCACGATTTTTATCTCATACCATACATTTCGTAAATCATATCTGCGCAAATGAGTAAACGTACAAGGTGATCTAAAAACAGAGTCAACTAACCCGAAGGCACAAGTACTCATGAAAGTAAACAAAGTAAGTAGTGTTCGCGATTTTGTGTTACCTTTGTATCGGAATAAAAGGTGAAAACAAAGTAATTTTGAAGCAAAGAAAAAATTTGAAGAGAAATCTGTCTTTGAAGTAAAATCCTATCTCGATCAATCTCTTCCAACATTAATTTCGAAAATATATTATTGGACCATCTTTTGAGTACACTAGCGAGTATTATATGCTTCTAAATTACTTGACCGTTTCCTCAAATCATCTTGTATAATCCGCTTTCTCTTCTTCAGTCTCCATCTATCAACACCTCATGTAAAATTCCCTCATAAAGAACAACCTCCCATAAGGATGCCTGCACGCGATTAACTGTGCATTAAGTACTCTACAAAAAATAGCTCCAATGTAAAAACTTATTTCAAGCGAATATTAAAATGTCAGGAACGTCATGGATACACGTCAATATTCCTCTGTCGAAGTGCTCGAGATCTGAGTACTAGCTCCACTGGAGAAGCTACTCCTGCAAGTTTCTACAGCCAGTGCCGTGTCCGGTACTTGAACAAACTGAACCTTCTCCTTGGGCCATCGATTCCTCCCATACACGCAATTAAATATATTATACTTATGATCCATTTCGAAATGGCTAAGGTTACTACTGTGTCGCCTCTTCAGCACCTTCTTGGCCATTAGGCTTCGGTTGTTCTTGTACGATAATTCTCTCCTGAAGCAGAAGAACCTCCTCAACTCACGTTTTACCCGTTTTGACCGGTAGCCGAACAACAACGGACTAATGTACGCAGCCAAGATCAAGAGGCTGGAGGCCAACACGTCGTATTTATGGGGCAAATGTTGGTCAGTGGATCGAGGTAGATTCTTCATTACCAGCAGTATCACGTACGGCGACCAACAGATCAGACCCATCACGATTACCAGAGCACTTATTCGTGCCGCCCTGGCCTCCTCTCTGTGCCTAAATATAGAACCGTTGCTTATCCGATCCTTTAGAGAGTTTATGTAGCTCGAGGTACTTCTCACACTTGATACACGGTGCAGACTATCATTTTTACTCGGCGCCGGTGTAATCGTCACTATTGGCGTCAAGAGACACGAGGATAATTCAGTAACGTTACCAGTGTTATCTTTCTCAGTCTTGTTACAGCTGATACCATTTTCACATGCATTGATTAAAATGTCTCTATTAACAGTCATCGATAACCTACGGTTTAACCTCACTTCTGAAGGACTTGGTAGTACAGTTTCAGAGTCTTTGTGATTTGATAACTGACCTTCCGAGTCAAAATCTATTTGCAGTAGATGTTCTTCTTTTTGATCGTCAGTGATTTCGATGGATGTCTCTGTTGGTTCTGTCTGTTTCATTTCGTTATTCAATTTTCCTTCCTTCCCGATGGTTTTAGAAACCTGTAATGACTCTTCCAGCAAATTTGAGGAATAATCGCAGATAGATGGAGGACATTTTTGCTCAATCACATTTAAATTGTCAAAACACTCGAAATGAGCTTCGTCTTCAGAATCACTGCTGTCGTTGACAAAGTTCCCTGTGATCCAATTATTGGAGAGCTGTTCATGCTGATTCAGAACTCTAGGCGACGTATCCATTTCCTCGGATTGTAAATTTTCTTCGTGATCCTTACTATCATTCACATTTTCGTTGGTTATCGTAGCAGAATTATCGTTATACAAATTATCATTCGTACCATCTTCTTCTCTATCGTTCGAAGATTGAGTCACCTCGACTCTTTGTAAACCGACTGTAAAAACAATTCCTGAACATGTTTTATCCTCTATAGGTGGCGAAGATACTTCCATCTCTAAGGAAGACGAGAAAGATCGTCTTCGAGATAATTGGCCAGTTGGCTGTAAGGTCTCACTGGTCTCGTCAATCGAGGACAAGCTTGATATCTTTGGTAATTTGCGAAAATCCTCGATAGTATCCGTTTGAAGACGTTGAAGTCTAGATGGGCCATTTTGTTCTTCCGAGAAGCTGGCTGACGATAGTATAGGTCTGGATCCACTCCTTCTGGCTCTTTCCGAATTTCTATGAGCAGCCACATAAATACTGATGTAGATCCAGCAAACAGCAACGAATGGGATGAAGTAGGCAAAAATGCTATACACAATGGCATAGACAAAGCCGTAAGTAACTGTACTGTCTATAAATGTATCGAAGATTTTAGTATCGTTTCCCATAAGGTCAAAATTGTCGACGAGTCGAATGGATTCGATAGTTTCCACTATTTCAGGAACTTCACTAACGTTTAGATCCACGGTTTTGTTTTCCAACACTGTTGATTCTGTGAGGAAATCGAAGGAAGTGATATTGGAAGACCATATTTTATTCTTCGATATGCAAGATAACCAGAAGCTTTGGGGATTCGGATTGAAAAATGCGAGGAAACCAAAGATTATAGAGATCAGCCAGGTAGAGATGATCAAGATACCAGATTTCAGCTTATCTACGCGAGCTCGGTAACGGAGTGGATCTACCACAGCAAAGTATTGATCTACGGCGATCAAAAGAACCGAGAAGACCGAAGATGTAGTCACAATGGCCACAACACCCTCTGACATTGCGCAAACACTTGCTATGGGCTGTGGGTCAGCTATGGAAGAATTGGATGATGTTGAGGCGGCGTCCATGATTAATAATGGGTTCATGATGGTGCATACCAACAGATTTGACACGGTTAGATTCATGACAAACCTGTAAATAGAAATAATGATTGTTATAGAATAGTGGTTTAATAATAAAAAGATAATATCATCGTTTAATTTCATTTTTTCTATATTCTACTCTATCGATCAGATCGTATGATGAAAAAAGATATCAACAAAAGTTGATCTCTATTAAATAGACAAAATAATACAGTAACAAACATTTATAAACTAGTAAATTCTTCTCGTACTATCACGATTTATAATATCATAGGATATGAAATTATAACGCTATAGCTATTAAAATAAAAACCAACCTGTTGGAAATAGTCCGCAAGGACGGACGTATGAGGAATGCCAATAGAAGCGTGACATTTAGCAAGAAACAGCCGAAAAGGGCAAGACTCCAAGCTACTATCGCATGATTATTCCACCATCCTTCTAGATCTCCTAGATCTGAAATCGATCCTTCTCCGGCAATGTCCGGCGAATCTCCAAACATTCATGTATAATAGATATGACACAATTCTGAAACAATAAAAAATAAGAAAACTTAAAAACAACTCTCACCGCTTAATTTAATTTTCATTATTCTATTAGAAACAAATTCTATTCTATCGAAAAATATTTAGATTATACTAATCGACAAATCGTATCGAGTAGCAGGGTAACAGGATGTAACTTTGGAAAAGTTGGAACTAGGACAAATTTTTTACTACCTCTTCTTTCCCCTTCAATGTTCTTCTTTCAGAGCATGTCTACATTACTAGATTATACCTTGTTAGATTTACGTTAAATTCGTAATCTCGTCGGAACTGTTTTGCGAACGCGAATTAGCGAATCATAATTGTTCAGATGGCGTAGCTAAGATTACTCTTGCTCGATGAGTGCAAGCACGCTATTGTGAGGTGAAGCAGACACGAACAGTGGTATAGTTGGTACTAACGAAAACGAATTTAATGTATCATCGAAAGAGGTCTATAAACATACTTCAACCGAGTCAGATCAGATTTGCCATTCTTTGACTCGTGGTAGATATATATCGACAATGAATGCGAGAGCTGTGTCGATTAATTGTCATGGCGTATCGCTATGGCAGATCCGCACGTCATGAGAACACATCCTGTATCACGAGAAATTCGATCAAATCTTACACTCGGATACCTGATCGTGGATAAATAACAATGGATCTAAATTCTTGGAATTGTACTTTCTTCTTGCATACAATATCTGTCTTTGTCTCGCATCAAAATGAAAATATTTATTTGCGCTGTGTGGCACTAGATTACTAACCTATGCCCTTATGTATAGGAACATCTTGTGGATATTCAGTGTTTTTAAAATCTAAAAACACGAATTTTTAGATTTTATAAATAGAATGTTACTCTTCTTTACTGAATCGTAAAAATTTCTCTAGTTATTTCACGTGTTCGATCATAAAGATTTTTCATACACTTTCATCAGATCATTCCAAGTTATAAAATAATCCAGACTGTAGTGTTTTGACCGAAAACCATTACAATTCGACTTTTAGTGGTTGAACGGTAGGAACGAATGGAATGAAACTGAATAAGTGTCGGATTTATGAAATGGGCCAATTTTTCTTGAAATTATCGCGCTTAACCTCAATATATATATTGCAGCAAAGTGTTGCCGTCAGCTTATATTTAGACTTAACGGATTTTCCCGTAGGCACGGGCTGTGAAAATACCCGTGGAGGGCACGAATAAGAACTACACATTGTGCTCGATTATTTGACGGTTAGACATGGCGGAACGGAAGCAATACATTCGCATGAAGAACTAACTTTTATTTATGCATTTAATAGACTGTTGATTATTGAAGACTTTTTCATTAAATCTTTTAGATTTATTCTAAATAATCATGCGATTAACTTTATTTTCATATTCCGATAGATGATACGTTATACTACGTATAATTTGCGCTAAAGTAAATATCTTATTAGCTTATCAGATTTCTTTGTCAGTTATGTCTTAATTTATAATGTTTCAAAATTCTATCCACAGTGATTCATAGCTGTTTCTTCACATACTTGAAAATGATAACGAACTGCAAGAACTACCACGTTTCGTCCATTTGTTCGAATTTAAAGAGCGTGACCACTGCTAAAGAAAAATTCTTCTAGTATTTAATGAAATTTGTCATTGATGTAAATTTTACTAGGCAGTTTACAAAATAACGATTAAGTAGATATGGAGATTCTAAGATCAATGTTCATAAGAAAAGGATCAAGAAGCTTGTGAGAATCGCTGAAGATATGGACTTTAGATAGAATTGGACTCTATATTAGATCTATTTAGATAAAATTAGAGCCTAGAATATTGAATTCCTCAAAGCGAGCATGGCAGATAGTTAAAACGAGTCATAAACACGAGGGTTTACGATTTCTATGATCAAAGAGATTATGGCCAACTGAACAGCATACCTCGAGGAAAGAGAAATCCTTATATATTTCACGTGCAAATAATTCCAAGTTATTATTCAAAGTGAAACAGCTAAATTTAAAAAAAAACGTGCAAAAGATATATAGATGAGATATAGACTGATCACTACTGATGCCAATGAACCCACACCAAGATATAGAAACCCTAGCTAGATCTCGTCGAGACCTGGAGACCTAAACTGGACAACCCCAAAAAGACCGAGGGTAGCCAAAGTCAGCACACCCCGGAAAACTTGGAACCTCGATAACTATGAATAGGGATTAAGGAACTCGAATCGGACCATAATAGAATTCAGGGATGTCAGCGGATTCAGGAATCTCAGCCAAACGACCTTTGAGTTCCTCGACTCTGCGGTGATCTGCTGGCTGGGGTCTATGGATTCTGAACTGCCCTGATTCGGGTCCTTCGACCCTAAATAATACGGTCAGGGTCTTCAAACCTTACGATAACCATATTTCATTTATTGCAATAACCATCTCTACACTTAATAATTAAATCATTTATTTAAATTATTATTAAGACTAACCTTATGCACTCCATGACCCATTTCAAGATCTATGTCTTAGTATTGAGAACAGAATTTTATATGAAACGAAGAACATACGATACAATTTTTGCGTTTGGAATATTGTAAGTAACAGGAAAAATTCGCAAGAATTACAAGTGTTTCCTAGAATTTTTAGAATTAAAATTATATTCGTTTCGAATAAACTGAAATGTTCGACAATTAAGTGTAAGTTGCGAGTGTGTTGTTCCTCGTGGCGCAGTTACAGAGGTGTCTTCAGAATTTTCCTGGTGCAATGCATTTACACATCGACAAACAGCTTGCCCGAAATGCAACAAACAAAAGAAAAGTTAGGGCGTCTTATTTTTTCGGAGTAAAAATAAATATACCCGGCTGGAGTAGCATCAATATCGCTTGACGTCATAACTAACACTTTTTAACACGTTTTAAAACCTGTAATTGCCTAGCTAGTCGTCTCGTTGTTATACGTTTATTGCAATTTCCTTTCATTAACCGCGAGATGGTAGGTAATGGTTAATAACGTTATTAAGTAATTTGATCAAATTTAAGCTTAAGGAAGAAATTTCTACATATATACGTGCATATAATAAATAATTTATATTTACTTTTATTCCGGCCTCTTTTTAGCAACATTTCATTCGATTTTCCTTGCGTTGGCCGGAAAGAAATATTTTTTTTGTTCACTTAGTATATCCTTTGGAAAGACTGTGGGTTATACCACGACATAAAGAACATGCTTAGTCATACTGATTCAACTGTGATAATTCACAATACTTCTTGGATACCAAAAAGAAGGACCCTACCTGCACGCAAGTTCAAAAGAAATTTATTCCTACTTCTTCGATGCAAGAAATATTTTAGATTTCCTATTATCTTCAGTATCACGATATTTATGTTTCTCTTATTTTATGCTAAACAAGTTAAAGTAAAACACATTTTGCTTTTTATTATGTCTACTATGCGAATTAAGTGGTTGTAAAATTTTACTGTCAAAAAAGCTTGTTTTCCTTTTCATTCGTTCTGGAATGAAAACACTATAAACAACTAAAGGGTAATGAAAAGAGTTGAAAGAAACCAGCAGAAATTTAATGACATTCTGTTATTTAATATCTAGATAATTTCTCAACAATGAGGAAACAAGTAAATATCGTTGCTTTTATAATGCAATATTTCTTTCATTACCAACTGTAAATATTGAATTAGCTGTAAATTTTCTTTTATTTATAAATACAAGATTTCTCAGGAAAGTATACATACTTAAAAACATGAAAATATCACAATAACGTTATACGCTATAGAGCAATTGCGCGAAAATAATTCTACTGTCTTTCGAAATAATAGTTTCCAAATTATTTGTATCATTTGGAAAAAATGATTTGGAAAATACGGTTACGAGGAAAGAGTATAAGCAACTACAGGGAACATTATAATATGTAAAAATATCAGGTGATACCGCTGAAAATTTTTTTGTTTCTACAACTTTCACAGTTCCTTGAGCGATAAAGCTAATGTGTTACCACTATAAGAAAAGAGAGAAAAAGAAACAGCGGATACAAGCTGCTTTGTACCGTTATTAAAAATAATATCGATAATCTATTTTCAAAGAAATCCTAGTTTCCGCTGTTTAATAGATTAAAAACACAATTTTAAAACATTAATAGCGATTATTAAGGATAAATTATTTCAGGGAACTGGTAATATGAAGGTATACGTAATTATGGTTTAAAACGACTAAACAGCGGAAGCTGATTTCTCTAAAAATAGATCGTCGATATTATTTTGAATAAAAAATAAATTGACGGCCTCCTCCTTTTCTTGATGTTAACAGTAGTTTTGCAAGAATAACTGTAAAAACTATAGACACAGGAGATTTACTCGAGATTCAGAGTAACCTTACATTTTCGCACGTTAGAGTAAATAATTCCTATTTATTATTTATAGTATCGTTATTTATAGTAAATCATTTTTAAATAATTTGGTAATAACGTAAATAATTTCTACGGCTATTTAAATATTTTTTAATAGCACAAATAATTTCTAGGAGTTATGAAATTTCGATTACGGAATAGGAAATGTTCCGAAATTTTGGAATTTCGCTAGAAAAAGGGGATTCTCTATATATTGTCGATTAATAGGAAAAAGACGCGACTCGATGTTCTCAGCAAACGAAACACACGCCCCACAAAATGACTCACTCAATCGCATATCTCCAGTGTGATATTTCAAACGCAGAAAATCGTTAAAGTAGGAAAAATGAACGTTATTCAATTCAAAAGAGAGAAAATATACAGAGATGTATAACTATGTGTATAGGAGGTCTCAAAGTTCACGCAAGATTTGAATTTTGCGCCATTTAAGCGATCATCAAGTATTGCCAATGGTAAAAAAGCAGTGTAACAGCTGATAATTCAAGGTTATTAAAAATGGAGCGCTACACGAAAGAACAATGCGTCTTCATTGTCGAGCAATATTTACAATTTTTAATTAAAAACCTGTGTTTTCTAAACTAATTCTTTGCGAAAATTTTCGGACGTTCG